TTTGTATAATATCCAGCTACCTGCCCTTTGGTGGGATAGCACTCACATCTTAATCCTAGTGCTGTTAATCCTAGTGTTGCACCGCTACTCAATCACATACTCTAGATCCAGCCACTTCTGGAAAAGCCCCATTTATTACTGCATGAGGCTTCAAGGGGACATCTAGACACAAGCCATAACAGTGCGTTTTAACAGAGCACGTACCCTGCAGTGAAATTTGGGTAACTGTGCAAATGGATCTCTTGCACCAAATCATAGTATCCTAAGGCCAAGGACCAGCAGACTCATTTCTTTGTATTTATAGCTACAGTGTTTTCTTGAACTCAGTTGTTTTCTTAAAGGTTAAGCCTATACTCAGCATTTTGCTTTACATTGATAAAATCGTTGGGTGTGCGTGTGTGTGCATGTGCATGAGTGCATGTGGTACTAGAGACTGAACCCAGGGTCTTTGCACTGAGCTACATCCCCAATATTCTTTCTTGCTAAATCACTGAGTTGCCCAGACTGGCAACTTAGCATGTGCTACCTTGCCGGGCCTTAGGTATTTCTAAGGAAGCAATACAAAGTTAAATTTTAGACAAATTTAAAGTTATTCATCACATATTTCAGTTTGAGACAGTCTAAGTTAAATGGATGGTGGTATACTGATTTCATTTTTTTCCAGAATGAGTGGATTGGTCCAGGGATTAGAATTCAAATTTGATAACTACTCAGAAGACCATATGATGTAAGGATTGGGAATCTTACAGACCTCATCCTTTATTCCTCACCTCAAGTTTTCCCTTTAAAATAATAATTCCTAAGGGAGTAGGGAGTAAGGGAACTTATTCTTGTATCTGCTTTTGGATTAACAGAGATTCCTGTGTTTTACAAGTGTGTGCATTGTATGAAAGTGTTTGTAGAAAAGTGTATCATTGCTTGGTACCCTTGGGTCTCAGATGCCTAGATTGTCACATGATTCACCCAGCAGAATAAGCCTTATAGAAGGCTTCAAATAGCGCTTGTTTTTCAGCTACCTGTCATGGGCTCTCCAGGTCTCTAACCATTGTTTCCAGGGCATCTGCTTCTCTGAACAGGGCATTCCACTCCCCGGAGAAACTTTGAGTTCTGCCAGGATCAGAAGGACTGGTTGCTTACATTTGATGTTGAGGTTGCTGGCACACTCAGCAAATTCCTTAGTCTTTAGAAAAGAAAGGTAGAAGCCACAGAATTGTTTGTTGCTGTGGTTAAAATCTCTAGAGAATGTTATTCTACTCTAGACAGTGACATTGTTTTCAAGTACACTGGGAGGTTTTGGATTACATGTAGCTGGCAGAGATCTCTACACTTTGCTGACGCCTGGGATTTGTTTTGCAGTTGGTGGTATCTTTGAGGAATGGGCCACCAGCCTACAGACCTCAAAGCATCAGTGTTTGCAGCAAAGGAGTGGAGTAAGGGCCCTTGGGTTTTAGGGAATGAAAAGGTACAAGAAATTACTGAAACTCAGAATCTGGTGTAGTAGTGAGACTGTATCAGAGAGTAATAATGCCTTATTTTGTCAGCAAATAAGAGAGAATATATGTATATTTTATTTTCAGAAATTAACAAGCACATGGTATTGTGCCTGTCTTCAAAGCTGTATAAATTGACCAGGGCAGATTAAATGACACAGCTTAGATGTACTGTAAAAATACTACAGTAGAGGTTGATATTCTCCATAATGACAAATCACACGCAGAAGATGAACCCATTATATGAAATGATTTGTGGTCAATCTAAGGCAGAAATGTTGAATCTCCAAAGTAGATTTCTAAGTTTCATGCTTTGTTGACTGCAGAAAAAAAGAGAAGGGGCCCTGGGACTGAGTGTGCCCCTTCCAGCTGAGCCTTCTCCCCAGAGAGCTGGCTCTTCCACACTGGCCTTGGGTTTGTTTCTAGTGCTTTGCTACGCCCCCTTGCATGCTAGAGCTATGAGAGTGGTAATCCTCAGGCTTGGAAATAGTAGGTTAACTGTAAGTTACCTGCTAAGACAGGAGGGCCTTGTGTGGAAAGAGGCTTTATGAAGGCCTTGCAGAAAGTGCACGGTGCCTATTACACACTGCTGAGTCAGCAGAATCCTCAGCCGGCTGTGGGCCTCCGGCATGGGCAGTGCGGTGGCGTCTCTGGGTCCAAGCCAGGCACTGCAGGAGCCTTCTGGGTGGTAGTGGTGTCTGGGGGCCTTTTGGGGTTTTTCAGAGCTCTCACTCCCAGTTGTGAACTGCCAACAAAGTAAACAGCATTTCCCCACATGCTCTATGTCTACTTGCAAATTCTCATTTTAAGAATCTTTGACTGTGTTGTTTAGGCTACATGCTCTAAAGTTTGCTAAAGAAAATAGACTCAACTGAAGCTACAGGGGTTTCCAGGGAAGATACTGACCCAGAACAGGTGGGGCAGGATTAGGTACACGACGGAAGGAATGGAACAGAGCTTCTCTTAGGCTTTTGCTATGTGGGTTAGGAATCCAGTGCACTGTGACAAACATCACTGCCACTTTTCCTTGTCCTACAAGTGAGACTAATTGCTTTAGGTTGTGTCAGTGCTAGGAGACTCACCTGGTATCTCTTGGATTTGGGGGAATTGATGAAAATGAGGCCTGTCTTCCTACAGTGTCTGTTTTCATTATCTGCAGCTCCACTGCCTTTCTTCAACACATAACAGTGGTGTTGCTGTGGGAATTAAGATGGTGAACATAGGGTCCCCCAGTGTGTGCAAAAAAAGGTCTTCAGTGATTGTTGATGTGTGGCTGGATCCTGTGCCCTCAGCTGGTGGGTGTTTGAGTGGACACATGAGCAGGTGTGTATATGTATATATGAAGTGCATCAGATCTTTCATAGCATTGAGAAAAAGTGGTTAAAGAGGCGTGTCTTTGGTGTCCTGTGTGTGCTGGCTTCTTCAGCAACTGCCCTCTGTATGGTGTTGTGTGGCCTGGAGCTCTTGAACCTCCTGTCAGTTGCAAGGCCACAGGAGAAAGTGTGAGAAAGTAAGTTTTACCAGTGTTGGAGTGACTGAATAACTTAGAAGAGGAGTCCATTCTGAATTTCATGTTGAAAGCATAGTCTCCTTTATGTGTGCATACCCTTGTATGTACATATATACCTTAATTTTGTTGCTAGTTTTCTCCTTATTTAATATTCTTAGGTGATTAGTTGGTATCATCTAAAGTTGTAACATGCTGCTACATGTCATTCCTGAACCAGACCTATGTTAACAAAGTGCCTCACTTTGTTTTATTGAAGCATGTAGCTTTTGACTCCTCTCTTGCTCTGACTTGGTAGAAGGGGTGGAAATGAAAGTATAGAAAGGTGTTTTGTGGGTTTTTTTTTTTCTTTTCTGCCATGTGCCTGACTTCCAGCTTCAACTATACATTAGAATCATTTGAAGAGCTTGATAAAATGTAGGTGTCTGGGCCCTACTCCCAGAGATTCTCCCTGAGGTCTGGGTTCTGGGATTTTAAAAATTTCCCAGATAAGGGGCTGGGGATTTAGCTCAGCGGCATAAGCGCCTGCCTTGAAAGCAGACAGTCGTGAGTTCGATCCCCGGTACCGATAAAAAGGAAAAAAGACAAAAAAAAAAAAAAAAAAAAAAAAATTTCCCAGATGATTTTAACGTGCAGCCAGTATTGCTCCTTGTCCCTTCCAAGGTTGGCAATTGCATGAAAGTAGAAGCCAGATCAGAATTTTACTTTGGCTGTAGGCCATCTACAATTCCTAATTTTAGCTCTAGACTTTCAAATACATCAATGTGGAGGGTGAGGCTCAGAAAGGGGTGAGAGGCTAGCTGAGAAGGAGAAAGCTGACAAAGTCTCTTACATATTAGAGTTTAAATTGGTCTGCATCCAATATGCCATTCACACTTGGTTTGTATTCATCTTTAGTGTGAGAATCACAACTACACTATTTACAATTTGTAAGATAAATATTCTAGTTATCAAAATCGTCTTTTCCTCCTTAAGGCAGACATACTTGTGATATAGCTAAACAAACATGTAAATACAAAAAAGTCAAGTACATTCCCATGGTACAGTCCTTGGGATAATTACTACTTACTAGGAGTTTCAGCCTTGTGGGAAATGGATAGATAACAAATTTGGGAAAAAATTTTGGGTGACCAATTTGGAACAATTGCTAAAAACCTCTACTTCTAATAGAATTATCTTTGGGAAAAGAATTGGCATTAAAAAAAAGAAGTATGACCTTCCAGAATAAATTAAGTTATTTTTGTCAAAAAGAGCCTTGAATTGTGTGCCCATGCAGAGAAGTCTGAGCAAGGCAGGAAGATAGTCTGCACCTGTGCTGCCTGAAGTTTCCACAGATGGTGGTGTGGAGGCAGTGTTAGTGGAATCAGTGTCATTAAAGCAGTGTTAATGTTCAGTAGGACTGGGGACTGTGTCAAGCTTAATTGGAAGAGGAAGCATGCTCTGGTTTGTATATAAAGCAGGTAAACCAGAGGTGAAAGGCTAGAGCTTGGCAGAGTCCCCAAATCCAGAACCCTAGCTCCACACTGCAACACGACACTCTAGGAAACCTTCCCTGAGCCAGTGCTTGGTCCTGTGCTGGGACATTCTTTTGGTGATACATGGTGTGGCAGAGTGACATTCCTTACTATGTCTCTTGTATATTTTGAGAACCAAGCCTCTTCCCATTTTAGTTTTCCTTTGTTGGCCCCCTCACCTTGACCACTTTAGAATTTGTGATTTGTTAATTTTCACAGTGACTTGACTTTGGTTGTGGAAAGTAGGCTCTGTGGAAGCATTCATGCCTTTGTTCAGCATGTCTTAGATTGACCTTACGGTCATTTTGATGGGAGGCTGGGAGCTTATAGTAATTCTGAAAAGTAATTTTGGAATTTTATGAATCAAAAAGACAAGAGCTTCGACCACGAGTTGAAATGCGGGAGAATGCTTCATGGATTTTGTGAGTCACACCGGAAGGAGGGGGCACATGATTGGCACTAACATACACATCGCTTTCTTTCTGTCAGCTCTGCCTGCTGTCTGCTACAGCCCTGGCAGTTCCATCCAGATTCTAGAAGACCCAAACTGTTTTTTCCCGGACTTTCAGCTCTATTCTGGGAGGCATGAAGCATCTGCTTTGACTGTGGAGGCAAACGGTAACCTCAGGGAAAAAGTTGGTAAGTTTTTTATTGCCACATGGATTGGCAAAACAAAATGACCTTATGTTTCTCATTTTTAGCTCCCCTTTTATCAGTGAGAGATTTGCTCCACGTTTGTTACGTGAGATCCACTGTGGTTGGACATATAATGAAAAATACCAGAAATTAACATTTTATAACTTTTAAATAACATCATTGCCATATATTGTTATGTTTTATTTATTAGTTACTTTTAATTTCTTATTGTGCTTAACCTATAAATTGAACATTATCATAATAAGTATGTAGGAAAAAAACATAGCTTGTACTATCTCTGGTTTCAGGTATCCACTAGGGTTCTTGGAACAGGTCCCCAGAGACAGGGGAGCTATTGTAATTCAAAGTTTCTTTATTTTCTATCCTCATTTTAGCAATCAGTTTATGGGATTTTGGGCTATCTCTTCGCTGGTAGGTACTCTATTTGTTCTTGCTATGCTATGATATTGCTAAAACTGTTTTACTCTAATATGTGTCTCTCTTTGCGAGAGTCGTATCAATGTAGGAAATGCAGAATTACATCATTTAGTCCCTTTTAAAAGATTTTTTACCGTTTCTTAGGATCTTTTGTTTCTGTTTTCTTTTTTTGCTTTCATTTTTATTTCTTTTGCAAATAATTCACAAGTGCAGAAGAAATAACTCAAAACTACAATCAGGAAGGAGTCACATCTCATATAACAACTTCCTATTCTTGGAGGTTTGGTTTAATTAATTAACTTATTTATTTTTGCTGAGTGGCACTGGACACTGAACTCAGAGACTTTACACTGAGCTTCATTTCTAACTCTTTAAAATTTTTTATTTTGAAACAGTTTCATTAAGTTGCCGAGGCTGGGCTCAAGCTTGTCATCCTCCTGCCTTAGCCTCGCAGAGTGTTTGAATTACAGACATGCACCACCATGCCTGGATTTTTTTAGGCTTTTGAGACTGGTAAAACTATGAGGAAATTCTTTAAACCCTCTTTATGGCTCTCGCCAAAGTATGCTAGTTCATTTTTCCCTTACTTTAGTAAAAAAAGAATTCAGTAGTTTTCATGTTTGTTGAGACCCATTCCTTTTATTATTCATACAAAGAAATAATTTACCACTTGAATTATATTATTACTTTTATTGAAAACTTTATTCTAGTAATTTTTATTCTTAAATGTGCTCATTTCATGAAGCCCTTCAGATTCATTCTGCCTTCTTCAGTCTCATAACTCTAACAGCTGTCAATGTGCTTACAGTAAAAAAGAAATTTCAATTCATCTTTGTTGAGTGGATGAGTGGTTCAGTCCAACATACACTCATCTCTTTCCTTGGATTGTTCATTATATTTATTTGGTGATTCGTCACACATGGCCTTGTGATGACCTGTTTTTATTGCTGAATTTTGATTTTACATTTCATTGATAGTATACATTCTCTAAAGGTAAGGAATGTTTCACGTTATATATTCTTCCATAAGGCAGGTACTTAGTTTCCACAGTTTTTCAGAGGAGAGGGGTTCAGAGAAGCCCAGTAATTTGACCAAGGTCACAGAGATGAGTTTTTTTGGCCAGTGATGAGGAGAGCCATATGACCCTTTGGGATCTAGCCTGTGCAGGGCTTGAATTTTCTTGGGCAGATGCCTCTGCATAGTCACAGATATGACAGACAGTGCTCTCTGTTTCGGAAGCATGAATTCAAGTAGAGGAATATAAGTAATAAATATAGTGTGACTGGGAAGGAGAAGAGGCCTGAGGAAAATGGCTTTAAGCTCTGTTCAGGTCTTCTCAGTACGTGTTAAGGAATCACACGGAGGCAAGGCCAGGGCATGGAAGAACAGGTGGGCAGCAGAGCACATTGGCGTGGAAGTGAGGGCTTGCTTCTATCCTACACACACAGGAAATTCCTTAATGAAAATAAGAGGACCAACAGTTTCTACCTTGTGCTATTACAAAGACACTAAAAATGTCATTTATTGTCATGTTTTCTCAGATTTCAAAACTAAAGAAGAGGAATATAATCCTTGATAACTTTTACCAAGAAAGACAATTGTAACCCTGATGACAAGTGTCTATATGAACACATATGGGTCAAGTCATATGCATATATCTTGTGACCAATCATGCCTTTATTTTTATTTTTTACTTTTTTTTGTTTCACTGTGGCCTGAAAAAAAAAAAAAAAAACAGCTTGGCAGTTGATTAAATATAGGAAGCTAAGGAGAAAAAGGGTGAAAAGTGAATATGAAATTTATATCTGTGTATCTTATATGATGAGGATATCCTTTATAAGAAAAAAGATATTTGGGGAAGAAAGGTGGTTTTGGGGAAAGGTAAGTGTTCTCTATGTCTATGAAAAAAACAGAGCTAGCATTTAATGGCACCTTAAAGCTTCGGGCTGATTGGAGATGCTGTCATTCAGCTCGCCTTATTCAAGGAGAGGATACTCAGGTTCAGAATAAGGTCATGCCAGTAGTAAGTGGTGGCGAAACTTTTACACCATCATGCTATGTAATATCTTTAATTCATTGCTTACTAGTATTGTTGTGAAAATGGGCTAAGTATTACATTTCATGTGGTACGTGTAGGTCTTCTTGTACCAGTTAAGTATTTGAGACCAGCATTAGGCTGAGTGCCAGGGCAATACAGATGAGAAGATATGATCTGGCCTTTGTGGAGTTTGGAGTCTTGTGTAAATAAGTAATTGCCATCTACTATGATTATTGCTCCAACAGCAATATGTACATATGAGTTGAGGACAGTGGAGAAAGAAGACTCAAGCCTGCTTGCTGGGTTGTAGCAGGGAAGGTAGCTTTGGAGTTACCCTTTAAAGCATGGAGTTTCCCAAGAGACATAGTGAGATGTATCTTTCTAGGAAAAGGGAAGAATGCCGTAGAGGCCTAGAGATAAGAGAAGGCTAGCATATTCTAGAAACTATTCTTTCCTAGGTACTGCAGGAGCTTGAACTCCAAGGGGTTACCAGTGTGAGGCAGGGGTGACATAGGTAGACAGTGTATGCTGCAAAATGTGATGGAATGTCAGAATTATCCTGTAATCAATATTTGATGAATTTTGTGCAGATAGGTGACATGGTTATATTTTTTTGTTGGAACAATTTTTCAGATTTGTATAGAAGATAGGTTGGGTCTGAGTGGTGGGTTTGGAAATGGAAATAAAACGAGTTGGGACATAGAAAAGGACACTGTGGACGTGGTTGGCATATGAGACGCCACAGCTTGTAATGCTTTGGAAAGAACATAGATTTGGAGTTCCTGCCTCTGTGGCCTGATTGATTTACTGCCTCTGAGCCTCTCCTCATCTGTAAGTAAGGGGAATTAATACCTCTTTAAAGGACTTGGAGAATAAATGAAATAACATGTGAAAAGAATTTAGTGCAATACGTAGCATATCATATATTCTGTAAAATAGTTCTTGTTATTATATGATGATTATGAATAATACTTTAAGGTTGATGTGGGAATAAAGAAGAGGGTTGGCAGCGATATTTAAGGGGTAGAATTAACAGGTGATGGGTGTTGGAGGGAAGGAGAGGAAGGAATTTTGGCAAACTACCTTGCTTCTCATTTGAGAAAAAGTAATTGACTACGGGAGCACTGGGGGAAAGGAAGACGTGTTAAGGTAGAACACCTTAAGAGCCATTGGCTTCCATCGCAGATGCGGGTTTCGAGGCTCGAATTGAAGATGAACGTGGAGATTCTGTTGACTGAGGGTGGAAGAGCACTCAGGCCAGAGCTAGGGGAAAACAGAATTTGAGAGGCAAAATGGAGCCAGAGAAGATGGGTACAGGGTCAGGAGGAGCGGTGACCGGAGTGCTGAACTAGGAGAGCATTTCAAGAAGAGGGTGATCAACCATGCTGAATCCTTCAGAAAGGCTAGGTGTACAACATGAGTTGGGAAATTCTTGTTGAGTTTGTTAGCTGATTAGGGCTGTGGATGAAGCATTTGGAACACAGATAGCTAGCAAGCATATGTTGTTTACTAAAGATGGTTAATAGAGAAGGAAGGGGATTAGGAGATCATAGGGTGACAATAGAGATCTTTGTATTTGGTTTTAGTTTGAACTTTTTTAAGATGGGAAAGCTGTGGGTATGTTCATGTGATAAAAAAGAAGAGGCAGTTGGAAAGAAAGGAAAGAGAAGGGATGAAGGAAGGCGGAAATCTCAGAAGTGGGAGAAGAAGAAACAGAGAGTAAAGTGAACTGTAAAAACACATCTAGGAGACACTGCAGATGGAGGTGGTGGTGTGTCAGAAATCTCATCTTTAAATATTTGTAATCCCTGCATTTGGGAGGCTGAGCCAGGAGACTCATTTGCAAATTCAGTACCAGCCTGCGCTACAAAGTGAGCCCAAGGCCAGCCTAACTGCCTAGCAAGACCCTATCTCAAAGAGAGAAAAAAAAAAAGCTGCTGTAGTTAGAATGCTGATTATTTACCGCATACTGATAGTCACCTACCTTCTGGGGAGCAGCCTCATATCTTTTTTTATGTTTATGTTTTAGTTGAGGATCCTCTTTGTAACTTCCTCACCCTGAACTTCCCGAGGATCTCAGAGGTGGAGATGAGAGGTTCCGAGGATGCGGCAGCTGGAACAGTATTACAGCGGCTGATCCAGGAGCAACTGCGGTATGGCACCCCAACTGAGAACATGAACTTGCTGGCCATTCAGCACCAGGCCACAGGGAGTGCAGGACCAGCCCACCCTACCAACAACTTTTCTTCCACGGAAAACCTCACTCAAGAAGACCCACAAATGGTCTACCAGTCAGCACGCCAGGAGCCGCAGGGTCAGGAACACCAGGTGGACAACACGGTGATGGAGAAACAGGTCCGCTCCACGCAGCCACAGCAGAACAATGAGGAGCTGCCTACTTACGAGGAGGCCAAGGCTCAGTCACAGTTTTTCAGGGGGCAGCAGCAGCAGCAGCAGCAGGGGCCCGCAGGCCACAGTTACTACATGGCTGGCGGCACCACTCAGAAGTCTCGCACGGAGGGGAGACCCACGGTGAGCCGTGCCAACAGTGGACAGGCACATAAGGATGAGGCGCTGAAAGAACTGAAGCAGGGCCATGTCCGCTCCCTCAGCGAAAGGATCATGCAGCTGTCACTGGAGAGGAACGGTGCTAAGCAACACCTCCCTGGCTCAGGGAATGGAAAGGGATTCAAAGCAGGAGGGGGACCCTCACAAGCCCAGCCTGCTGGCAAGGTCCTGGACCCTCGGGGTCCTCCACCTGAGTACCCATTCAAGACCAAGCAAATAATGTCTCCAGTCAGCAAGAACCAAGATCATGGACTTTTTTACAGTGACCAGCACCCTGGGATGCTCCACGAGATGGTCAAGCCTTACTCTGCTCCTCAACCTGCAAGAACAGAAGTGGCTGTCCTGAGGTACCAGCCACCCCCAGAGTATGGGGTTACCAGGTGATTATTGAGACATAGAGTGTCAGCTTGGCTCTTTAAAATTCTACAGTCATGTTTTTAGCACTTACTGCTTTCCAGGAATGTTAAATTTTTGTCATCAGGTTTTTTTTTTTCTTGTGCATTACATTTAATAAGCTATGTTGGGGTCATGATTTGTCAGGTGAAGCAGACAGAGTAGAGGGCAGCTGGGGATCAGTGAGTGGAGGGAAGGGACCTCTGCTGTAGGTGTTCTTGAGAATTTTGCCTGGATGCCTACAAGGTATTTTCCTGGTGGGCTTTGTGGAGAAACATCCAGTTTCCTGAAACCTATTACCAAGGGGTTTTACAGGCTTTCTTCACTGTAGATTTTAAAGGAAAATAGACTGCTAGACTAGAGGAGATAAGGAGACTATGGGATTCAACATTTGCACCCTATCATTCATAGATGGGAAACTAGAGGAGGTTAATAAATACTCACAGCACACAACTTAGAGGCAGCTGGGGACTACAGTCCAGTGTCCTGGTCCTCTTTTCACTCTCTCACCCTAACTCCTCTTACAGCCTTTGGATGTGTCTTGTGGACGGTCGGTGGATTACTGTGTACTCTGTGCAGTCTGGTTCTAGGTTCACAGATAAAGCCATGGACCCTGCCCTCAAGAATTTATAGCATTGTCTCTGGGGAAACAATGTCTGAAGGAATCACTGTGTTACATTTACTGTTTAGGGTGGACCACAGAAAGTACTACAGGAAGAGGCAGGGCGAGGTGGCTTGTAACTGGAGGGATGAGAGAGCTTCCCAAATGTGAATCTAACCTTGTGACAGGCGAATCTAACCTTGAAGGATTAATAATAGTACATAAAGTGGATGATTTCTGCTTTGTCTTCTGGCAACTTGAGGTAGAGAAATGGTCAGGAAGGAAACACTTCTTGGAGGTCTCCACAGTTACTCGTGGAAAGTGTCTTTTGTCTCAAGCTTATGACACTAGAAAGAAGAAAAAATGTGTAAGGGCTCTGAACTTATTGCTAGGCTTGGCAGCTGGGGTAACATGACACATCAAAATGTCTGAGGCTACATAACAGACAGGTCATCAAGGCTGGGCCCCAGAGCCATAGGCTACTTTGTGAGCTTGGCCACAACTAGCCAGCATGGCTCCAGCACACAGCCCTTGGTTGGCTGGTTGAAGAAAATGGCATCCACAGTGGTCCACTTGAGACATACTTAACATGACCTGAACTCCCAGGGTTGAACCTGTGTAGTGTTTCACTTATAATTGTGACCCAAGAGACAAGCACGACTCCTTTGAGTTTCACGGACAAATTCCCTTGTGTTTAGAGGGACATTAAGCACCATCTGCTTAATGGTGAAGGTATAAGAAATTACAGGCCTCTAGGGGCTGGAGATTTAGCTCAGCGGCATAAGCGCCTGCCTTGTAAGCAGGCAGTCGTGAGTTTGATCCCTGGTACCGATAAAAACGGAAAAAGACAAACGAAAAAGACAAAAAAAAAAAAAAAAAGAAATTACAGGCTTCTGGGTACAGGCATTGTGTAGCGTAGACTCGGGCACTAGAAGGAGAGGCCTCTAACAGAGGCCACCAGATCCATTACTCACCTGGTGGTGTAAATGTGTGCTTCCACAGCTGTTAAGGAATGTTCAGTAATTTGGTCCAGTGCATTACATTTGTGAGACTTGACAGAAAGTTCTTTTTGTCTAGACAGAAAGTTCTGAAGAGACAAGTGATAAAATCTGTGGGAACAATAAGAATTTGAATTTCCCGCCTTTATTCCTGTGTCTGTTGCTTACAAAGGCTCTTACCTGTAGCTCTACTGCACTAAAGATGGAGATGCCTGGTGGATTGTAAACCATTTAGACTCCTTTATGGGGTCCCCCTAGAGCGGCTGCTGATGCAGACTCCATTGTCCTGTAGCACCTGCCTTTGTTGTGGATGAGCTAGTGTTAGCTGCCCACGGATAAAGGTTCTGGTTCTCCTCTAGCTCCATCTTGCTTTTTCCTCGACCTGAAAGTGGAAATAGATAGGAATGAAGATAAGGTGGGGATTATCTTGTTTCTGTGAAGAATTGCTCCTTTCTGCCAGCCTCCAGTGTATATAGATTCAATTCTGACTCAATTCCTGATTCTGGAAACAGAGCACTTCTAGAGGTAGTTACTTGGGTTGTACATTCTGCAGTGTTGATGGAAACAAATGCACTTATGAATTCCAGTGAGTGCTCTGGTTTTTATCAGAGCAGTGACTTACTTTTCTCTCGTTGATGAGCCAAAAATACCCAACTTTCAAAATTAAAGGAAAGGTTTATTTAGCTCACAGTTTGTGGAAGTTTCAGTCTATAATGAGTTGGCTCCAAGGCAGGGTGCTATGGTGAGGGGCAAGAGCTCAAGATAGCAAAAGCAGCAAAAGCAAGAGAGAGAAACGAGGCTCTTTCCCTTTCTTATGTTGTATTCAGGGTATCAGCCCACACCAGGTCAGTGCCCTCTTCTTGCACAGGCTCAGGATGTTTAGGAAGTGAGTAACTTGGCTCCTGGCTGAATCACTTAGTTAAACTTCTGAACTTCTCAAGTTGATACGATGTATCAACCATTATAAGCAGTTTGGAGTGTTAGTCAAAGCGAATGCTTTTTTTCCAAATAAATTGGTTCCTATTTCAAAATTCTTAAAAACCAGAGGTTCAAAAAATTACTTACTAAAATTACACTTTCCTAATACAACTGTTGACATTTTCCTTTACAAATTACTTTTTTCATGTCACAATCATGAATTATATTCAATTTATTATTGTGAGCTATTTTTAGATAGCATTGTCTCAATTTTTTTGGCCACAATCCTTTATTTTTATAACCATTCATTTTATTACTGTCTGCTATTTTATTCCATTTTCTCTGTAAATAGTGTAATGAACATCATTATGCATATTAAATTTTTCATACTTTGCTTTCTTCTTTAGGAATCACTATTTAGAAATGAAATTACTGAGTACATTGTAGTGAACATTTACTGGCTTCTGGTGCTAGATAGCTTTGTAAAAACATTAAATGCCTATTTTATTGCACTTTGACCAACATTAGTCATTATAATTACAAAACTTTGCAAATTTGAAAGGAAAATAGTGTTGAGTCACTGTTTTAATTTGCAGTTATTAGCTAGCTTAATTTTCTTAAGCAGTATGTTTGCTAGGTAGACTTCTTTGATCTTTAAACTTGGCTCTTTATGGTTTTTGTTCATATGGATTATACTTTAATGGATCCTATATTAACTAAAACCTGTTTTTATGATTGATAATACATGCTCTGAGTTTCCATTTGCTAGAACTCTGTCTCCACCCTCAGTAGGTGACAGCAGAATGGTGTGATGGTGGCCTCGATGGTAGCTGGAGGTCTTAACCACACTACGTGCTCACTGAGTGCCAGCACAGAGTGGGTTATCTTCCTTAACCTTTACGGCTAAGGACTGAATGTTGCCAACATACGTATTTCCAGTGATAAAACTGGAGGCCAAGTGAGAAAGGTTACGTCACTGCCACTGGCTCTGTGGTGTAGAGGCCAGGGTACAAATATGGAGTACTTTGCTGGGTGAGGTGTGATAGAGAACACGGTGAATGTTTAAATTTTAAAAAATTATTACAGTAAAAGAAACATTGTTATTAATTTCCTCAGAATAGTCCACCTCACTTTAAACACACTTGTCCCATCCTTCTTGCCACTTTCTGAAATATCTCTGAAAGTTCTCTTTTGTATTTGTAGTTGATCCTGGCTGCCTTGATGTCCTGAGTAAATCAAAGCATTTACCTTTCAGTGTCATTCTGACCTTGCAGAAAAGCTAGAAGTCACATGGAGCCAGAGTCAGTGAATGAGGTGGAACAGGGCATACTATAATGTTTTTATCTGACAGAAATTCTACAAATGTTTTAAATGAACTCAGGACACTAAGGGAGCCATGAGCAGAAACTCATGAAAGAAGACTTCAAGAAGTGCTTCAGAAAAGTGGGAAGACATTGGGATAAGTACTTGAGGCAAAGGGGAGTATTTTGAGGGGAGTTAATGGCAATGTGTCTTTTACTTTGCTGATTTTTTAATTTAAATATTCCCTAATAATTTAAATATTTGATCATATCACATATATGCATCAACTGTGGGTTAAAAATGTGGCCACTCTACATTGCAGGGGAAGTGCAGGCTTGAGTTTTACCTGCATCACTTACTTGGTGAATGCCTAGTCAAATTTATAGACTAGATGACATGTGATAATCCTACCTACCAGAGTGCTTTTCAGAAAACGAGATATTTTTAGCTAGCTATTATGAATTGTCTCACTATAAATATGGGAAGGCATGTATCACTGTAATATGAAAATTTCTATATTAAAATTTTTGTACTGATTTCCATAGTGGTTGTATCAGTTTGCACTCCCACCAATAATGAAGAATTCTTTTTTCCCAGCTTCTCCCACTTTCGTTATTATTTGATTACTATTCGATGGCTATTCTTTCTGTAATGTGATAAAATACAAATGTTTTATTTTGCATTTCTTGAATGACTCAGTAATGTTGAGCTTTTTTTTTTTTTTTTTCATGTGTTTATTGGCCATTTGTACTACTTCATCTGAGGAGTAGCTGTTCATTTCAGACCCCCATGTTTTGATTGGGTCTTTAAATTTGAGGGGTCTAAATTTTTGAGTTCTTTCTAGTCCTTTGAGGAATAGCTGGAAAAAGTTTTGTTCCATTCCATAGGTTGTCTCTTCATTGTGTTGGTTGTTTCCTTTGCTGTGCAGAAGGTTTTTAATTTGATTTGTTCCCAGTTGTTGATTCTTGGTATTATTTCTTGTGGCAGCCTAGGGTCTATTCAGCTGACCCTGCAGGGGGAGGAGAGCCCAAGAGTACATGTAGCAGTTTAAAGATAACACCTGCCTTGAAGAAGCCAAGTACATTTTAACATGAGCAGGTATAAAGACATGCTAAATGACAGGTGTGACTTCTGGTGGTTCCCATTTTCCATACGCTATATGGTAAGA